ATTTGTGGCTCAGAACGAACAACAAAATCATTTATGAGAAGGATGCACAGAAATTATCCACTATCACTTTCTGCAAACAATAACGTCATAGTTGTCGACGTTCTCCTCATCACAATCATACTTCTTGAAAGGCGCTGTTCCATAACTCTATTCATCATCGAGCTGTAATCAATTACATGAAGACCGAATAACAATCAGATACGCACTGCCCATCTGCTCTTGAATTAGCGATCACGAAAGGATGCAAGCAAAGTTATTCAATACCCAGGAAAATCACGAAAGTTCAAATTTGAAATGTTCCAAATTCGTAATTTGATCCTTCAGCCACTCTACGTGAAACTCATTCAAACGTTGCATTGAGTAAGTTCTATGGGATATTAAACAGATACGTGACCTCATGAATGTCGTTTGCTTGGCACGATCTTTTCAGGGGGGTAAGCCATAATCAGTAGCCAAAGCGCTGAACTGATTATTTTAGGCCGAGATAGTCACAATTGCTCAAGATCGCTGGAAGCGGATTTCCCTCAGCATCATCGCTTGAGACCAATCCCCACCAGGGTGAAAATCGTGTCGAGTACGTGGTCGCAGAAGTACGACCCCCCCCCCCCGAAATCGAGATCCTGGCACGACCCCTAAAGAGCAAATCGCAAAATAATGTTATGGACGCCTCATCTTGTCATCTATGCACTGTCTTTCATCGCTGCACACTTTTGTGTATTTACTGAAATATCGACTCGAGGAAAGAGGCATTAACTTTGTGTGACCTCAAAGTCAGGTTCGTTCAGAAATGCACAGAAATCCTGAAGGCACGGGGTTGCGATTTAATCTTAATTCCTTCTTACTCCTTTCTTACTTCTTTTAGAAAATTGAGCAGAAGGACTCCTACAACAGGTGAGCGAAGTGGCTGTCACCTGTTTCACCCTGAACTGTGCGATCGAACACGTGCACGATCCATCTTTCGCTGAAAACATCTACAAAGAAGGTACATCTCTGGAAAGGTCGAAGTCTGATATGCCGAAATGTTGACTCATAAAAAATGGTTCCTTCATCGCGCAGCTGTTTTCTGCTGGGAAACTAGGAAAGAAGCTAGGTTGAATTACCCCTGGAGGCAAGTGTGACCTCCAGCCGAATCCACAGTCATGGACAAATTTCGATAAAAACGCGGCTCAGTTCTGGAGGAGTGGGGCAGTAAAGCTTTTCTCTACTTTTTACTGCATTTCATTATGCCAGTTTTGAAGAAACTATGGACATGTAAAGGTTGGAAACTCGCGTTTCAGGAGAATGTTTTGAACAAGCCATAGAGCGTAAAGATGGAACAATGGGACTATTTTTGGAAGAGTGACCATTCAAAAGGATTTGGCATATTCTTTGTGGGCCCTAGTCTTCTCGTTTCTAAACGGCATCAGCGATCTGCAAAGAGGTAATTATGAAGGAAGTTATGGGCGTTCGAATGGGGAAAATTTGAGGGTTCTGAAAAATCGAACCACAAACACTTGAAAAACCGAGTAATGCGGCTATTTTTTGAGTGAGTGATCTTTGAAAAGAGATCTTGCATTTTTTCGAAGGATTTTTAAGAAAGAACTGAACGTCTGAATGTTGAAAACTAGCATGTTTATAAAAAACGGAACAAATGGGCAATTTTGTGAAAATTTGGATATTCCAGCAGTTCAAACACTTTTCAGAAAGAAAATGGTATGAATTTTCCTAGTTTTTGTATCACTTCCCATGAGATTGCTCTCGAAGGAAGATAAAACCTTTTGAATCAAGAGGTTCGCGAATACTGCAATGCACAGTTTCTCACTTTGCAAGAAGGTGAGCTTTAGAAGGCCGAAGAAAACATTTTTGAAAGTAGAGTTTCCTGCGATCACGAAAATACATAAGTCTGTGGGAAATATTGAAAATTATCTTTATTGAGTGAGTAAAATTTGACGTCGCCTCAAGTCTCATCCTCTCCAGGACAAAGAAACCGAGAAAATGTGCGCGACGTATCAATTTCCTACTGCCCACCAACTTCCTTCCATGTCGATGACTGCCCGAATGCGGATGATGGGCATAAAAATATGTCGAAAGACGTAAATAGCTAATTTAGGTGTGTCGTGATGCTATCCGAAAGGAGGGTGGGGATGTAAATATTTGAAAGTTGCGCAACGACCCTGCTGCGTAGCCTGCGATGAATGCAAGAGAGCAAGAAGTCTTTTTCATTTATTGCATAGTTTTAGTACTCCCCAAGAAGTGCAATTCTGGTTATCTTTAATCCCTCTGCAGTTTTGCCAAAAATCTATTGCTTTTAAGAAAACCCTACCTTGAACCAGCGCAGGATTGTCGGTTTTCTCCAATGAACAACGCTTTCTAATTCTAGATGGAAGCGAGGAAAATAATATTCAGTACTCCTGTTATTCGCATCTCCTTCGTTTTTACACTACCTGAACGCGCATTCGTTCAGGTAGTGTTAGGGTAGCATTCCAATACTGTACGCCACGTTATGCTTGACCCCAGGGTGAATATCGGTCGAGGAAATCCTCGACAGGGGGGTCGTACCTGTCGGGCTGGGTCATGGGGGGTCGTACTCTTGGGGGTCAGTAACAGCAGTGGTATCGTGGTGCAGATAGGTAAGAGGGTATAGCGCAGCAGAAAATGAAAATATCTGAAAAAAAACATGATATTAAATTTTCTTTGCAGGTTCAGTCGCTCCATTCCTCCACCTTCATGAGAAGGGCGTATTTGAAGGCAGTACAAAAATGAAAGTGCATCCCCGCAAAGACTGCCACATGTGCGCACGCGCTGCAAAGGCACCTCCTCTGCCTATCGCTCGCTCCTTCTCCCTTAATACCTCGCTGAGAATGACACTGTTGTTAGGGACCCTGTCGCAAAAACGACAACCGTGAAGGAAAAAGCCCTGGGCAAATGAAGTTGTTCTTTAGGTTGTAGGAGTTACGAAATGCGTTTACTACAATGCAGCTTCTGTCAACTGGTCATGATCATATGACACCTTCGAATCGATTCTGCAACTTCGAGTGAGGTCGGATGCATGGCCTATACTCAGACAAAATTCGATGATGACGATTGCCCCTTTTCCTATTGCTTATGTTGGGGGAGGATGTTTTCTAGAACCATTCAAGCGTTGCCAACTATTACACTGCCAATGGTGAAGGATTTTCAGGTTCTTGCTACATACTCGACGCAGATATCTTCTCAACTAGGAAATGTAGAAGAAAGCTAAGAAGACCATCAGAAAGCGCAAACCTTCCGCTTTCCAAAACTATCTTCCCTTTTTCAGGATCTTACGACATTAGAGAGATATTGCTTTTGAAGTGGCAAAAACTCGCGTGAAAATTTCAGCGTCCTCGACGTTTACTCGACGAAATTTGAGAGACCCTATCTTTCTGCATGGAAGGCTTTCAGAGCAATTTCAATACTTCTTGGAAACGCGAAATCCAGCTCTATCTAACCCTACCTCAAACTGCTTCAAAGGTTATGAAATGGAGGAATGCAACCTTTTCATCGAGGGTGTAGATTTCGACGTTTTTTTTTCGGGATTTCAGCAAATCTGACCCAGTGACAATCGCGCCGCAGCTGCCGTTGAATCGGCCTTTGATACACTCGGCTGTTTTGATATACTCAAGCAAGGAATCAAGATTGAATCGCAACCCCGTGCCTTCAGGATTTCTGTGCATTTCTGAACGAACCTGACTTTGAGGTCACACAAAGTTAATGCCTCTTTCCTCGAGTCGACACAAAAGTGTGCAGCGATGAAAGACAGTGCATAGATGACAAGATGAGGCGTCCATAACATTATTTTGCAGGATTTTTTTTGATTAATTAATTGAATTAATTTGCTCTGTTTTAGGGGGTCGTGCCAGGATCTCGATTTCGGGGGGGGGGTCGTACTTCTGCGACCACGTACTCGACACGATTTTCACCCTGCTTGACCCTGCTGGTGGCACAAGTGCTGCGTTCATGTTGAGCATAAAAGGAGATAGAACCCACATAGTAGCATTGATCCTTAAGAGTACATCAGTTCCTATGCTCCTAGCATGTTCCACTGAAGATCCATCCACCCATGATGTGCCATCCTTCAAACCGATGAATATGTGTGAGTGCTCTTTTTTCTTATTTGTCAAATCTGCAAAAAAGAAAATCATTCGGGAGGTTCTATTCTTTCATGAATCGAGCTGCCTCTATTAGTAATATGAAAATCTGATCATTCTATTGTATAAGCCGCTAATACAGTGTATTGTTTTTATTAAGGTCGCCCGATAAGTTGCTTCGTTATTTCGAATGAAATTTTCTTGGAATCTTAGGTTTTCACATGATATTTTGCATACTCAAAAAAGGAATACCTGCTCTGAAAACACATTGCATCCCTTCTATAATCACCAGCTGAAAACTTCGAGACCAGATTAACGAGGCAGCGGTGAACCACGAGTTGTGCTTAGATAATTGGATTTCGAAGAGAAAGCCACGATCTATTGGACAGTCCAGTGGTGGAATGTTAAGAAGAGGTCGGACTGAGTACAGAGTGCACCAGTGATTGATTTCTTTTGAAAGAACATGGATTTCGAGTGAGTTGCCCGTTTGGCTAGCCGTCGTCTATTGGACCTTTCACGTTCAGCGAGTTCCAACGGACTTTTCTAACGAATGGTATAAAACATCACCAGTTTAGCTCCGCACGCTGCCGCTCACATGAAGCGGTAGGCTTCCGTGAAACTAAACAGCACGTTACGTATCACCGCTAAAAAAGCTAACCGCTGTTTCAACGCTGAGTTGAAATACCCTAGCCGACCTTTTCACAGCCTTCCCACTTGCTGAAGCTCACCGCTTGATACGCGCGATAGCTTGCAGAAGTGAAGTGGTGTATGTAAACAACCACCATGCCTTGAATGTCAGCGTGATTTAGCGGTCGAATAATATTTGATGCTAATGATGTTGAGACAGAAATGCCCATTGATCATTATCGCATTTCTTCAGACAGCCTCTACACACATTCGCAGGAAATTTAGGCAAAGTAGCGGTCGAAGGGAGTATGGTGCTGACGATGGAACGCAAATGAAATAAAAATGAAATGGGTAGATTACTTGTCTGGTATTAGGTTTGAGGTGACCTGATGTTCTTACTTACATCGTTATTATCAGCGCTTATCAACTATTATCATTCTCGGTCCACCACCAAATATGTTCCCGTCCCACACTCTACATCACTTGAAGAATCCAACGCTTCACTGCTGCTGTGACACGCGATATTCATTTGATGACTTTTTTAGCGCCTTTGGCGTTAGCGCCTTTTGGCGCCCCTTACCAGCCCTTATCAGCTGTTATCATATTCGGTCCCCCACCAAACATGTTCCCGTCCCACCCTCCACATAACTTGTTGGAACCAACGCCTAACTGCTGCTGGGACGTGCGCTATGAATTTCGTGAAATTTGCGTTTCAGCGCCTCTTATCAGCTCTTATCAGTCTTTCTGACCCCACCAAATATGTTCCCGTCCTGGCCCCTACATAATACTAAAATTACAGCGTTCCATGTTGCAGCGAAGCGCGCTATGAATTTCGTGACAAACGTACGCACCCCCCCCACACACAGACATATACTCGATATCGGTGAGTTGGGGTGGGCGTGTCACCGGAAGTGACGTGCACTTGATAGAAGCTATGTGGATAAGCTGCTTCCAACATACATCGCTGGATATCAGCAAAGCATGCTGGCAACAGCTTATCCACGCACTTCTATCAAGTGCACGTCACTTCCGGTGACACACACCCCAACTTTCGGACTCCCATAAATATTGCACCAAATTTTGAGCTCAAATTCTGTAGACGTTTGCAGCTTGTCCTTCCGAGATTTGCAGACCTTTCAATCCCCTATTCTCTTGTCAATGACCATGTCAAATTCCACGGCTTACCATTCGGTCTGAAATTCAGAAGAGTGCCTAATCTCTCACACAACTAGGTCGGACATCCGGTGATGAGCATCGCGCTTCTTTGGATTTTCAACCGCTCCGTGGCCTACCGTGCACTAAAGAGAAGACCAATTAAAGTAGTCTTTGTTGTAGCCGCCCTATATGTCCTGACATCTTGGATCTCAGCAGAGACAAAAAAATTCAGGGAGTGGTATCGAGGGCCGAAAATGGCGATTGCGCGGGCACCGTTTTCATCGACGACAAAATTCCTCACA